TGAATTCTCAACCACAGGTTAGATCTTTCTGAATCGCAACATAGCCATAAAATAAAGACATTGTGGGCAGGCAACCTGGGTTCAAACTCAGCTCTGGTGTTGTGTATTGACAGGATCCTCAGAGGGCTAGCCCACCTCACAGACTCCCACCTCATCTCTATAATAAAAACAGTCATCACACAGCTGCCTCTTAGGGCTCACAAAAGGGCTTAACGACTTAATTCTGTTTGGTAGTAAATGATGTCAGTGGCTGCAATTATGTAACAAAGATGAAAGGATCATTAGAAATAAATCAAGCGTCATGAATCACCTCTTGCCTAAAGCAAATAAACGGAATCTCATCTGCCAAGAAGGAGTGTTTACATATCCTAAATGTTAGTGAAATGTGCTTCAGAATTTGGCACTGGCTTCCATGGAACTTTTGGGTCAAGCTGAATTGGTTACATTGCAAATCCTGACCTTTTTATTTGTCGGTCGTGGGGGCTGAACTCCTGGGCCTGGGCGCTGATCCTCAGCTCTTCAGCTCAAGGTTAGCACCCTACCACTTGAGCCATAGCTCCACTTCCAGCTTTTTTCTGCTTATGTGGTGCTGAGGAATCAAACCCAGGGCCTCCTGCATGGGAGGCAAGCACTCTGCCACGGAGCCAACTCCTAGCCCAGAACTTTTTCCTTTATTGTCAGTTCTAAGAGTTGATTGTCACGGTTTATATTTGTTTGTGCTTAGCAGCGCTGGAGTGTGAACTCAGGGCCCCCTGCCTGCTAGGCAGCACTGTAACACTGGAGCAATGTCTCTGTGCTTTTAGGAAGGATCTTTCATCTTTGCCTCTGTTAGTCTCTGTGATCCTACTCAATATGGCCTCCGGCACAGCTAAGATGATGGGCAGGAGTCGCCATGCTGTCCTGTGCCAGGATTTCAGTTCTGAATCATGGAAGTAAAGTCCTGTGGGTGGTGGGTTGGGAGTGGATATTTACCCCCAAGTAGATGGAGTGTGGGCACTGCTGTGCACACAGTACAGCTGGCCCCATTGTCCTTTTGGTGGAGGGAATACAGCAGGGATTCTCTGGGTTGGTTCTGGGGATGGGGAACATGGTGCTTTGGGTTTAACCTTCTGCAGGGTCACTTGAAGATGCCGGTGTGCACGCAGACCTTTCCATGTTCAGTTCCTGTGCAGACACTGAATCTCACTCCTACCTCCCTGTCAGTCCCTCTGCTGCCTAGTTACACTGCATCCGTGGTCCATGGGAATGGGATCAGTAACAGTAATTTCAAATATATGAAGCTCTCATTCTCAGGCTATCAATTTCAAGTACTGGTTTTTTGGCCCAAAAAATATTTCAAAATTTGTTTCTAAATATTTGTTTATTTTTGTTATTACTATTTTTTTGGCCACTCCCGGGGCTTGAGCTCAGGGCCTGGGCACAGACTTCTTTCCCTGGGCTGGCTTCAAACTGTGATCCAGGGATCATAGTGTCCTGAGTAGCTAGGATTACAGGAGTGAGCTACCAGCATTTAGCTTAGTGGGTTTTTTTTGTTGTTGTTGTTTGTTTGTCAGTCATGGGCCTGAACTCTGGGCCTGGGCGCTGTCCCTCAGCTCTTCAGTTTAAGGCTAGTGCTCTACCACTTGAGCCACAGCGCCACTTCTGGCTTTTTCTGCTTATGTGGTGCTGAGGAACTGAACCCAGGGCCTCATGCATGCAAGGCAAGCACTGGAGCCACCATCCCAGCCCAATGTGTCAAATATTTTAAAAGCTAAATGATTGGGGTCAGTGAAGACAGGCTATATAATGGTAGCATAATAACACACACCAAATGATCGTTGAGTCCAAATGAGAGAGAGAGAGAGAGAGAGAGAGAGAATGAGGTGATAGCCCTATAGGAAGACAAAAAAGGGCACGGTTTCACTTGTGATTGTACAGGAAGGAATGCATCATGGAGAGGATGACAGTAGACTTAGTCAGAAGGGTTTCAGGGTGAGGATGGCAGGTGAGAGGAAGGCATGGCCTCCATGTATTAAGGGAATCTCTGGAATAGCCTTGTTGGGGAGCCTGGCACTTGAGAGGAGGAGTGTGGACACACTTAAGCTCTCATTGTGCCATACTGATGCTCTGTTACCTGGTGGTGAGTCTTGCCCAAGCCCTAGTGATAATGTACCAACAGCTCATGGGTTTTAGATTAGTTCCCTAGCACGGAGTCTTCACATGGTTGTCATCATGACATTTGAGGCTGGCCCGTGCCTGTGGGAGTTCAACAGGCCCCTGACTTCCATACAGTTTGTGGCACACCATCATCATTCAGTCAGGACGACCACGAGGTCTCCAGACAGTTCCCATAGGAGTGGTAGAAATGGGAAGGAAAGCGAATTTAGATTGCCCTGGCAGTGAAAAGAAAATTGATATTAGTTCACATTTCTACCTCTATAGAGGAAGACAGGTACTCAAGAATAGGGGGTTCCAGGTCATAGGAATCAGGGGGCATTGAGGTGAGAAATAAATCTACCTCTCAAGAAGATATTGGTCTAGGTGCCTAATAAATGAAATCAGCTCTACACTGCAAAGTTCAGCATTTTAGTGCAGAAGCCGACGAGACTTAGTTGGAGGGTGCACTTGCCCTTGGCACTGCTTGGAAATCTATCTTCTGAGGATTCTGATGCTCATTCGTGAAAGGTGTACTGAAAAAACAAGAAATCTAAAAGAATCATAATGATCACTGTGGTGTGGAAGTCTGTACCAAATGTGTGGTAATTCGCAGTTGAATGAGAAACCATAGGAAAACTCATCTAGATTAGGGTGCCCAGCAGAGCCCCTCTAAGTCCAAAAGGGAGCCAGGGGTCCTAATCCTTGTCAGTTTCTTTCACATGACTTTGGATTCAAGGACCTGGACCTGGACAATGGGTTGCAAGTACAAACATGAATGCAACTGGGAGAAAAGGAGGCAAGGGGTGACACTACTCAAAAAGAAATAGACTCAGGCCAGGTGCCAGTGGCTCATGGCTGTAATCCGAGCTACTCGGGAGGCTGAGATCTGAAGATCGCGGTTTAAAGCCAGCATAGCCAGGAAAGTCGGTGAGACTCTTATCTCCAAAAAACTCCACGAGAAAACTGGAAGTGGGGCTGTGGCTCAAGTGGTAAAGCGCTCACCTTGAGCTGAAGAGCAGAGAGACAGTGCCCAGGCCTAGAGTTCAGGCCCCACAACTGACAAGAAAAGAAAAGAATATACTCATTATCTGACTTATGTATCTGAAACCCTCTGTGCATCACCTTTACAATAAAAAATTGAAGAAAAAGGAAACAAAACATAAATGCATGTAACTTTCTCTTCTAAATCTGTTTTATTTTTGGCACTTCACACTCTCTGAATGATGAAATGTCTCCCAAATAATCCTCACATCAAACAAGACATTCATGGGTAATCAGGAACTGATTCAGCTCTCTGGCTCATGTATACATTTCCTTATTCTCGTCACAAATTTGTTTATCTTGTCACAAGCTCCTTTTCGTTGTTCCTCTTGCTATTGTTTGTTTTCAACTATAGAAATCTCTGCACTGAGCAATTCCTTCCTCTCTACTTCTTGTGACCTTGGCAAGAACCATCTGCCTTCTGCCCTTCTGGACCTCAGGTCCTGTCTGCTGAAATACTCTCCCAATCCGCCCTGGATACCAGCACTAGCTGTCAAAGGCTGGCCAGAGATGGCACCTGGTTCCATCAGCTGTCCTCTCTGCTTCCAGGACCCAGTCCTTCACTAGTCACTTCATTGTTTCATGTTCTTTCTGTGTGTGGAAATTGTCTTGATCCCATAGAGATGAGCACTCGCTTCTATCTCCTTGTTTTTGGAGGAGTCCTACAGGTAAAGTGCTCTACAGATAATGAGCTGGGTTAACTTTCCTTCCACAACTGAAAGTGCACACACTACTACTGAACACTGTTCATGGAACAGTCTCCTTTGTTATTTGTTCAATAAACAACAAAGTAATGGAACAGAGTGGATGGCTGGGTGGCTAGCAGCAGGACCTTGCCACTCACTAATGAGTGCCTAACCGTAGGCCTGTGGTGAAGCAGCTCCCATAGAAAACCTCTCCTCACTCTAAAACATCATCATGGTCTTACTTGTTCCTGTTTCACCAATGAAGATGGAAGCTCTCAGAGACCAGTGCTGTATATAACTTGCAAAAGGACAGGTCACCACCAGACACGAACCCACGTCTTCCTCATCCCAATTCCATCAGCATTGGACCTTTCCAACCCTCAGCATTAAGGAATTCTTGTAAATTCACATGAGTATCCTTTGCATCTATGGAAGGAAATCCCTGAGATCTAACGAAGACATAGGCTATCAGTCAGAGATTCATGAACAAGCTAGTCAACTTCACTACGTGGAACCGTGCTTTTAACATGTTCAAACCAAGGTTAAGAGTAAACGCTCCCCAAATGGAAGCACCAAGAGAAAGAAGTGCCACCTCCTCTGCTCTGTGAGGTTGTGGTGCAACCAAGCTTTTCAGCCACACACGACATGAAATGAACATGAATCCCTTTACCTTCAAACACAAAGGAATAAAATCAAGAAGGGAAGGAGAATTTCAATAAAAGTACAAGGATCAGAATCAGGAGGAAGGTGAAGTAGAAGAATAGGATGAAGAAAACAAGATGGTGATAATCAGACCATCACAACAGTAATAGGAGCAAACATGCCCACAGAGACCGCTTGTGTGAGCGCTGCATCGTAGCTTGGAGGCACTTGGGAGCAGTGTGTCAGTGGCCAGGTGCCATGATTGGATTTCCCCAACGGTCCAGGTTTCCAGCAAATCACTGGGCTCTGATGGCATCTTCCTGTTGTTTCCTGTACTGATGCCAGGCCAATCCTGTGGCCCATGCTCTCATTTGCTGGGAGGGATCAACAGCAGGATCTGAGGGATAAATAGAGGAGTGCTGGGTGCTCAGCTCCTGAGACAATTCCGTGATTCTGTTCACATCCAAGGCAAGAGCCAGCAACAAGCACCTCACCATGAAGCTACTGGTGGTCTTCATGCTTGCTGCCATCCCCCTGTGCTGCCATGCTGGTGAGTCTCTGCAGGAAAGGCTTCCTTGGGACCACAGGTTGTTACCTGAGCCCTTAGGGAACGTGTCTATTCCCCAGCCCCCACTCCAGGCCTAATGTAGTACAATGGGGCTGGGTGACATTTTTTTTAATAAAAATACCATTAATCCAGATCTTCAGAGAGGCAGAAGTCTGGCGGGTATTTTTCCTGCCTTTGACCTTCGAGACAGTATATCATGTCCTCTCAGGGCATTACGCCATGACATGAGGTGGTTCATGAAATGAGGATTTAGTAATAGTTAGATATTCGGTGGGGCTGGTGGAAGAATGAATGCTGATACTGGAGACAGACATAGATGGATTTCTGAGAGCCTTGTGAGTCTCCTTAAATATGGAAAGGAAATGAGAAACCTCCCAGAAACAACGTGCAGGCTGTAGCTAAGACCCAGTATTGAACAATTTGAGCTCACACAGCAGATATTTGTGGGTTTGCTATGAGCCCTTCCAAGAAGTACTTAGCCTCAAGTACCTCCATGTTCAATGCTGACCAGAGGAGAATCCATGTCCTCCACAGTCCTCTCACTGCTAAGAGAGCAAAATGCTGTCGGGCAGAGATGGTCAGCGTGGACCTGTCCCAGGGGTCATGTTGTATGCACAGTTTATGAAGCCTGTTTAGTTTGCTTTCTGCAATTGTTCCCAAGTTGGTGCCCATTGGTGAAGAGATGAGATGTTCATGAACTAGATTTTAACAAATGACAGAGGCAAGGATAAACCCAGCTCATTCCCGCCCAGCATCTGCGTTCTTTCACCTCCACAGATGGGTCACATATGGTCACTTCAACGACTATTATTCTGTAAAATGGTTTTTGGTAGCATCGAGGATTGACTACAGGGCCTCACATTATTAGGAAAATTTTCGACGACTCGAACAAGTCCTCAGTCCTTTTATCTTTCTTTTCAATTTGCGTTTTAGAGGGAGTTGCATAGTTCACCCTGGGACTGAGTCTGCAGACTACAGATTCTCTTAGGAAAAGCCTGTGCTCACCCTCAGGCCTACACATAAGGTTCAGTTTTCATTGCCAGTTGATACAGGCTATATTTTGACTTTCAAAAAGCTAGTGGAAAGTAATTAACACTCAGTATTTCAAGACTATTTAGAAATCCCAAATCACATTCTCAATGATAACAATGACACACGGCATGCCCTTGAACACAAGAAGACTCAGTCTTGTTTCACTGGACACCAAGTCACTTCATCTCATTTCTCGAGGGTCTTGTTAGCCAATGTTCCATAGCGTTTATCTTCTTTGGCGTTGTGTCATTGGGCAAAATCAAATAGGACTTAAAGGACCCCAAGAGCATGAATTTTCTGTGCTGGACTTAAGAAAGTTGGACACTGTCCCAATCCCTCTGTTCCCCTTCCATGTTTAACTCCTTTCTGAACTGGTGTCTCTATGGAGACCTGTGATGATTGTCATCATGAACCTAAAAAGCACCGGAAATGGGTTTGTATGCCTGGCTCTGAGCCCCTGTTCTTATGTGTTTTCCCAGGCTCAGGCTGTGAAAAGCTGGAATATTTGCTGGATGTAACAATAGATCCAGAAGTGTCTGTGAGTGAGTACAAGGAAATAATGAGTCCTTACGTTTCTAACAGTGTTGCAAATGATGCGTTGGAAGAACTGAAAGAATGTTTTCTCAAGCAGTCCAATGATACTTTGGCCAATGTGAAAGTGATGCTGGTGAGTGTGTTTTGTTCTTTGGTACTTTCTAACATAACGAACCCAAGAAAATCAGAGGCTGAGTTTGTCATTTATAATATCAAACAACTTGGTGTGCACACTCTTTTAAAAGTCTATCATTACAAGAGGAATTTTTTTTTTTTGTTTGGCTCTATGTCTGTGTGTCTGTGTGTTTGTGTGTCTGTGAGTGCATGTGTGCACACATGTGAGAATGTGTGTGAGTCCTAGGGTTGGAAGTCAGGGCCTGGGTGTTGTCCCTGAGCTTTTCTGCTCAAGGCTAGTGTTCTAACATTTGCCCGACAAGCTCTACCTCTGGCTTTTCTCATGAACTTTCCTGCCTGGCTGGCTTCAAGTTCATTTTCAAGACCTTACACTCAGTACGTGAAAATGGTTAAAAACTCTTCCAGTTGAGCAGGAATTTTAGCAGTCCTGTGGTAAAAGAGTGGTATCCAAAGAGTTCAAAGCACTGGGTTCTCAGCAAATAATATCTGTACAAGTAAGTAATTCAAACATGAGCCAGCTTAGGGAAACATGAATCAAATGTACCATTAGGACTTGCAGAAAGAATGGCACTCCTTTGGCAACAAGAACTATTTCCTGAGCAGTAAATAATCTGAGCATATAATCTCATTTTGCTTCTAGAACACCTTGGATACCACTTATAAGAGCTAAAGAGAGTACATACACTCACACTCACACACACACACACACTCACTAAAAAATGAGTGGTTTTAGGTTTAAATACTTGACTCTGCAAGACAGAGTTGAACATGCAAGTGATGGCCCTGTTCTGTTTTCCAGAATCACATATACAACAGTGTGCAATGTGCTCTTTATTAATCTTCCACAACATCCAAGACCTAGAGGAATATACGATGTGCTCAAACACCGACTGCTGATGCTATAAAACCAGGATTTTCCCTCTTTTTTCTGTCCTTTACTACAGGAGATGCAAGACAATTGTTGAAACATTCTCATCCCAATAAACTAACTGCAAGCATGACAGCTCTGTGTTGTTATTCTGCATAAGCAGAGGCTTCGGTAGGCGTCTGTACCGCAGCATGCCCATCCACACACGTTCACAGTTTTTCATTAAAGAGCCCCTGAGAGTCTTCAGGATGGAAGACTCTGGAAAGTGCTTTCCCTGCTGAAGTCTGTCCTCAGCATAGGTCCTTTCTCTGGAGAAGCCTCTCCCTGCCTCCTCTCCACCCCTGGTGCACCACAAGCCTCTCTAAAGACCTCAGGCTGGTGCCATCTACAGTTGGTTCAGATCAGATTCCTCAGGATACCTCCCGCCCCACCCGTGCCTTCTCCTCGCTTCCCAAAGTTGAAGAAAGAAGAGAACTTAAAACACATTTCTCCTTTACTTTAAGGTGCCAGGACAACACTGGAGGGTGAGACAGGCTTGTATAGACTTGAGGAATGACGGTGACCTGTGTCTGGACAGAATGCTCCATTCTGTAACCCTGTCCAACACACCTCTATGGAGGAAAGCAGAGTGACCTCTGAATCCACCATTTCTCAGAGCACAAGACAATAGGATGGGGAAAACTAGAGAGGATGACATAATAACATCTGTACTTTATTAATATTGCTATTATAAAAGTGAGGTACAGAGAGGTAACAGTTACATAAGTCAGGTAATGAGCACTTTCCTTTTTGGATGTCACTCGTTCCCTCTCTCTTCCTAGTTCTTCTCACCTGTCCCCACCCACAAGCTGTATACTTCATTTTCTACAGAATGTGTAGTGAATATCACTGCTGCAACCCTTCATCCTTGGTCCCTCCATCTCTGCTTTCTTGTTAATGCTAATGATGATGTTAATGCACACAAGGATTAACCATTTCCAAACTCATGTCCAGTCTAGCCAAAAAGACAGTAAACATGTGTCCGCATACTACATATCATTTTCCTTTTCCTCCTGGTTGGAGAGAGAAACTCCATTAATGGGTGTTAGGAAAGATGAAGCATTTGAAAGGAAAGAAGAAAGAGATCTCAAGAGATCAGAGCAGGATTTAAGCATCACCCAAGAGGAGCAACATGTAGCACCGAACAGAGTTGACATACAAGGGGCGAAGAGCATGGGGTTTAGGGCTTCAATACAGTCAAGTCTGAGAGCATTGGATTTGCAATATCCTTGTAGTTGTAGCAGAGGTTCTGTTTTGGATTTATGATGTCTTCTCAATTGTGGCAGAAGGTGCTGTTCCTTCAGATAAGGCCAGAGTGAGGTTTTGCGGAGAATAGCTCAAGGATAGGGAATCCTAGGATCTTATCAGAAGAGTCTCCAGGGGAAGATGGTCAGTGGCCATAGAAGCAACATTGAGTTATGAGAGCAAAGCAGAGTCCCATTGTTTGAGATGCTGAAGGGGTATGAAAGGTTGAGGGGTGTGGTGGTCTTTCCTGGCTACTTCCTGCTGACATGGGGTTGTTGTGGGGAAGGGAGGATCTTGGGAGTCTCTGGTTGCTCATAGAAGAAGGATAGCATTTACATGTTTCCAAGTTGCAGCCTGTGTCATTGCTGCTAGGTGATCAATGAGAAATTTTGCAAGAGATTTAGAATACAGGGCAATAAAGTTCTTAGGAGGCAGAGGATCAGCAGGGGAGCCAGTACTAGGAGGAAGAGCCAGGAAGTCCAGCTCCAGATGTTTTTCCATTGGCTCCCTGACTTTACTCAGCAGAAGGCAGGTGAAGGACATAAGGAGACTGACAATTCAGTTACAGCCATGTCACGGGCCCATGTGAAGGCATGTGAAGTTTCCCTCTTGAAGTAGGGATTCTTCACTTTGGGGCTTTAACTTCAATAAGAAGACTTGGCAGTGCTTTGTTGAGTAAGTAAGCAAGCAGGCAAGCAGAAAAACAGACAAGCAGAAAGGCTGAGTCATCCAGGAAGGGAATGTGGGTGCCCTCAGAAGGAGAGATACTGAGATTTGTTTACATGAAGGGTATTTATCGGATAAAGACACATTGAGAAGAAAGCATCAGAGAAAGTGTTTGGGTTCTGGGGTTAGAGAAAGAGGTCTTAGACATGACACCAGAAGAATATAATGTATGAAATAGTAATAAGTTCGTCTTAGTCACATTAAATGCTCTGCTCTGCATTGTTTAATACAAAGCAAGCTGCAGGTGGGAGGAAATGCTGAGGGCACATGTCTGACAACAGATGGTATTCATCTGTTAAACTTAACAGTCAGGAAACAACCCAAACTTAAAGAAGAACACAGGCGCTTAAACACTTGGAGGCGGAGAGATAATTTACCACCCTTCATCATTAGGGAAACGCAAACCAAAACCATGACCTATTAGAATGGACAAAACAAGAAATACTGACCAATACACTGGCCGTTGTGCTGAACAACTTTTCCTTAGGATACTATATAATTACTTGCACAAGAAGTGACATTTTGGCATTGTGGTTTCAGATAAGACACCTGCTTTTCAGTCTACTGCAGTCTCAGATAACAGGTGGAACCAGCTGGAACTGAATGAACCACAGAAAGCTTTGCTTTCCACAGGCAGAGTCTTCTGAGCCTGCACTCTACTGTGTAGGGTCACCACTTCCTCATTGCTTAAGGCACTGTTGTATTTAACCTTTATTTTGTCCTAAGGCAGAGTTGGCAAACTGTTTCAGTTCAGACAGAAAATGTTTCAACTTCTCGGGCTGCAAGAGTTCTGTAGAGTAGCAGTCTGCACAGCAGCTGGGGACAACAGGTGAGTGAATGGACCTTTCTATTAGGTGTGTTCTCATCTAACTAAATACTGCCTACAGCTTGGCTGGACCCATAGGCCATAGTTTGCGACCCCCACGTGAGGGGCATGAGCAGTGGGCAGCTAGCGGGCAGGACCAGGGCCAGCCTTCCCTGGTGCTAAGCTCTTATTGAGCACTGCTTACAAGTACTGGTCCCAAGGGGGCTCAAGGGGCATCGCTCTTCTCCATGGGTCTCAGGCTTTGGCACAGACCTGCAGACCTCAGCAAGAGTGGACCTTGGGAGTGGACACGCTGAGGAACACGCCCCTTTAACAAACAAGGAATATCTACCCCCAAAACAGGAAGCAGCTTTACCTGCGCCATCTTGAGATACTAACCCGTTTCCTGGAGGTTGTCTGATCAGAATCACCCACACACCAGTACCCCAGGGTGGCCCCGCCCCCACAGGTGATCTTGAGGTACACTGCAGTGCCTCCAGAACATTCTACTGAAAACCCCCATCTTCATAATATCCATAGCAGGCTTCAAGGCATATACTTTATTAATCTACCTCTCAGACACTAGAAACTAAAATTCAACTGAAATAGAAGAATCTATATACACAGTACTGCCTGAGGGCCAGTTGGGGCTGCTCCTAGTTCTTGAACCAACCTTCAAACTGGTCTGGGGCTCCCTTTCCCCTTGCAGCACAAAAGCCTGGCACTCAGAGGACAGCCACAGCCACTCCACGGCAGAGCCCTCAGCAATGGCACACCAGGCGGCAGGGCACCAGCCCAACACGCACACCACACAGACAAAACACAGACAAGACAGACAAAGACAAGACACAGGTCCCGAGACTGCCGGAAGGGCAGAGTGCACGCATGCCTCAGTACTTCAGGCTGTAGGCCAGGCTGCTGGGGACCCGGGGCCCCTGCAGGGGTGGTGAGTTCCACACGGCAGAGCTGGTGCGCTTGTGGTAGCGGGGCTTGCTCTTCTTGAAGATGTCCTCCAAGTCCAGGGGGAGAATGGTTCCAAAGAGCTCCGCAAGGTTCGGGGGGTGGTAGTACTGGTGGACGATGGCCTGGCTGAGCTGGGTGCCTGAGAGGAACACAGAAGGCTGGGTGAGCTTCCCTACTTCCTCCTCCCCACGCCCACGTGGCAGCGCTGCCCCTGCCCATCCTCTCCTGCTGAGCCAACCCCCTGCCCACAGCACCGCCTAGTGCCCTTGTCCTCCTCCTCGCTGACATCTGCTGGCAGCCAAAGCCAAGCAACCACTCCAAGAGAACCCAGGAGCCAGGCTGAGCTCCATGAGCCCTTGGCTGGGGTGCTGCTCACCCTATTTTGTACACAGGGAGACTTGCCTCATGACACACAGCACACAAGTGGCAGAGCCAGGTTGCAAAGAGGAGCCTGGTGCCAGAAATGAAGCACAGGTGGCTCAGTGGTAGAGCGCGCTTGCCTTGCATGCATGAGGCTCTGGGTTCGATTCCTCCCCACCACATAAGCAAAAGACAAAAGGCTGGAAGTGGCGCTGTGGCTCAAGTGGTAGAGCTCTAGCCTTCAGCTAAAGAGCTGAGGGACAGCGCCCAGTCCCAGAGTTCAGGCTTCACGGCCGGACCCCCGCACCAAAAAACAAAAAACAAAAAAAACCCAAGAACTGTTTCCAGAATCTATACTCACTAAGGAAGGAAAACCTAGCAGAAATGGATGCATTTTCAGAGAATTACAAATTGCCCAAACTGAACCAAGAAGATACAAATCAATTTAATAAGCCAATAACATACAATGATATAGAGGAAGCAATCAGAAGTCTTTTAATACAGAAAATTCCAGATGGATTCACCATGGAATTCTCTAAGACCTTTAAAGAGGAACTAATAATCATCTTGTCAAGCTCTTCCAGGATACAGAAACAGAGGGAGAAATCCCAACCTCATTCTATGAAGCCAAAGCAGGCTAAGATCCAACCAAAAAAAAAAAAAAAAAAGAGAATTACAGATCAATCTCTTTGATGAACAAAGATGCAAAGCTCCTCAATAAAATTTAACCAATAGAATCCAGAAACATATAAAAAAAATCTCATATTATGATCAAGTAGGTTTCATCCCACAGATTCAGGGCTGATGTGATGTTATTCATCACATCAACAGAGCCAAGGTCGAGAACCACATGTTTATCTCCATTGATGCAGAAAAGACTTTTTTTTTTTTTGGGGGGGGGGGAAGGGGTTGGTCATGGGGCCTGAACTCTGGGCCTGGGCGCTGTCCCTCAGCTCTTCAGCTCAAGGCTAGTGCTCTACCACTTGAGCCACAGCGCCACTTCCGGCTTTTTTCCCCCTCTGCTTATGTGGTGCTGAGGAATCAAACCCAGGGCCTCATGCATGCAAGGCAAGCATTCTACCACTGAGCCACCTTCTCAGCCCCAGAAAAGACTTTTGACAAAATACAGCATCCATCCATGTTAAACGATCTGGAGAAAATAGAAAATACATTCTTTAAAACAATAAAAGCCCAGGTGGACCCATTGCAACAATGAGATATACAAGTCATTATGTTGAAAAACGAACTTTACAACTTTGGGAGGTTGGGGGGGTGATGGGAGGGGATGGGAAGGGGAAACAAAGGAGGAGACAACAATGTTTGATAAGAAATGTACTCATTATCTTGCCCATGTAATTGTAACCTCTCTATATGGTATTTTCCAATAAAAAAAACAATAAAAGTCATATATAACATACCAAAAGCCAATATCATCACAGTAAATGGGGGAAAACTACAACCAATTCCCACTCTCTCTACTCCTCATCAATATAGTTCTGGAATCCTTAGCCAGATCAATAAGGTAAGAAAAATACATTAAAGGAATCCACACAGGGAAGGAAGAAATTAAACTATCCTTATTTGCAGATGACATGATCTTATACCTAAACAACCCCAAAAACTCCACTCCCAAATTCCTAGAACTTATAAACCACTCTGGCAATATAGCCAGGATACAAAATTAACCCACAAAAAATCAGTTGCCTTTCTGTATACCAACAATGTACAGCAGAAAGGGAAATCAGAGAAAAAACCCATTCACAATAACCTCCAAAAAATACCTAGGAATTAACCTAACCAAAGATGTAAAGGACCTACTTCACGAAAACTACAAAAACCTAAAGAAAGAAATCAAAGAGGAGACTAGGAAATGGAAGGACTTCTCATGTTCATGGATAGGTAGAATCAGTAGGTAGAACTTTGAAAATGGCCATACTGACAAAAATGACATGCAAATTCAATACAATTCCCACCAAAATCCCAATGACATTCTTTACTGAAGTAGAGAAAACAATCCCAAAATTCATAAGCAACAATAAAAGACCTAGAATAGCCAAAGCAATTCTAGGCAAAAGAAACAATGTAGGAGGTATCATGATACCAGATTTCAAGCTTTACTATAGAGACATAATAACAAAATTGGCACAAAAATAGACCTGAAGACCAATGGAATAGATTAGAAGATCCAGAAATAGAATCACATACTTATACTCAGCTGGTATTTGACAAAGGAGCCAAAGGCATACAGTGGAAGAAACAGCGTCTTCAACTATTGGCGCTGGGAAAACTGGGCGGCCACATGCAGAAAGCTAAACGTGGACTCCAGCCTGTTACCATGCACTAACATCAACCCAAAATGGATTAAAGACCTCAACATCAACCTGAAACTCTGAAACTACTGCAGGACAGAGTGTGAGAGACACTAGAGCTTAGAGGCACAGGCAAGAACTTCCTGAACAGAGTCCCAGGGTCACAACAAATTGGAGAAAGACTGGACAAATGGGACTACCTTAAAAAGTTTCTGCACAGCTGAAGACATAGCTACCAAACTAGAAAGACAGCCAACCATTTGGGAAAAGGTATTCACCAGCAATATATCAGACAAAGGCCTAATATCCATTATATACAGGGAAGTCAAGAAACTAATCCCTCCCAAATCCAACCAATCATTAAATGGGCAAGGGAGCTAAAGAGAGATTTCTCAGAAGAATAGATAAAAATGCCAAAGAAACACACAAGGAACCGTTCATTGTCCCTGGCTGTAAGGAAAATGCAAATAAAAACAACCCTGACATACGTACCACCTTAACCCAGTCAGAATGGCCCACATCCTAAATTCAGCCAATGACAAATGCTGGTGGGGATGCGGAGCAAGAGGAACCCTATTGCACTGCTGGTGGGAATGTACACTAAAACAACCACTTTGGAAAGCAGTCTGGAGGATCCTCAGAGACCAAAATATAGACCTTCCCTAAGACCCAGCCAAACCACTCCTGGGCATCTACCACGAACAACAGGAACCAGGATTCACAGACACCTGCACCTCCATGTTTACTGCAGCACTGTTCACAATAGCCAAGATGTGGAAACAGCCCAGATGCCTTACTACAGATGAATGGATCCAAAAATTGTGATACCTATATACAATGGAATATTACACAGCCATTAACAAGGACAAAATAATGCCATTTTCTGGGAAATGGATAGAACTAGAACAAGTCATGTGGAGCAAGATAAGCCAAGATCAGACCGACAAATAGCACATGATCTCCCTGATATGCAGATATTAAAATCTAAATGCAAGGAGCTATGACAAAGTAAACAGAACTCAAGAAGCAAACAAACTTCTTAATTTGTCATATCATTTCTAGCTGACTCCAAATTCTTGACCTCATATATGGTGTATACATGTGCACATCTGAGGGAAAATAGGTAGATTGTCCAGAATCAGAGGGAAACGGGAAGAATACAGCAGAGTGGCCATCAGCTGCATTGGACATTGATGAAAGTCAACTAAGCAACTTGAGGGTAGCGATGGGAGAGAGGAAAGGAGAGAGAAAGAGGGGACTGCTCACACAAACAAAAGAAAAGTTATATACAGATCACCCGATTTGGAAAAAATAGTTGTAACGTCGACATAGTTGTAATAGAGACCATGAGCTTCATAGGCTGGGATAATGACAGTGCGCCTCCTGGCGGTGACAATGTATGTCACTTTAAGTATCATTATCCAACAATACTGTGAATTTTTGAAAAAAAAATTTTTTTTTTGGGGTCCGGTCGTGGGTCCTGAACTCTGGGCCTGGGCGCTGTCACTCAGCTCTTCAGCTCAGGGCTAGCGCTCTACCACTTGAGCCACAGCGCCACTTCCGGCTTTTTTCTTTTTGCTTATGTAGTGCTGAGGAATTAACCCAGGGCCTCATGCATGCAAGGCAAGCGCTCTACCACTGAGCCACCTTCCCAGCCCTGAATTTTTGAAATTTATATAATTATTTAATCTCAATAAAGAAAAATACTCAATTTTTTTTAATGCAACTGGGAGAAAATGAGAGAAGGGGTGACACCCCTCAAAAGGAAATAGACTCATTACCTGACTTTTGTATCTGTAACCCCCTGTCCATCCCCTTTACAGTAAAAATGTGTTTTTAATGAAGCAAAGCAAAACGGCATGTAATTTTACTCTCCTCTCCTAAAACTGTTTTATTCTTGGCACCTCATGCTCCTCCCTTTGAATGATGAAAAGAACAATCTTGCAAATAATCTACACATCAAACAAGACATTCGTGGGCAATCAGGAGCAGATTCAGCTCTCTGGCTCATATATACATTTCCTTATTCTCATTTATACTCCCACAAATTTGTTTATCTTGTCACAACCTCCTTTTCGTTGTCCCTCTTGCTATTGTTTGTTTTCAACTATAGAAATCTCTGCACTGAGCAATTCCTTCCTCTCTACTTCTTGTGACCTTGGCAAGAACCATCTGCCTTCTGCCCTTCTGGACCTCAGGTCCTGTCTGCTGAAATACTCTCCCAATCCACCCTGGATACCAGCACTAGCTGTCAAAGGCTGGCCAGAGATGGCACCTGGTTCCATCAGCTGTCCTCTCTGCTTCCAGGACCCAGTCCTTCACTAGTCACTTCATTGTTTCATGTTCTTTCTGTGTGTGGAAATTGTCTTGATCCCATTGAGATGAGCACTCGCTTCTATCTCCTTGTTTTTGGAGGAGTCCTACAGGTAAAGTGCTCTACAGATAATGAGCTGGGTTAACTTTCCTTCCACAACTGAAAGTGCACACACTACTACTTAACACTGTTCATGGGACAGTCTCCTTTGTTATTTGTTCAATAACAAGATAATGGAACAGAGTGGATGGCTGGGTGGCTAGCGGCAGGACCCTGCCACTCACTAATGAGTGCCTTACTGTAGGCCTGTGGTGAAGCAGCTCCCATAGCAAACCTCTCCTCACTCTAAAACACCAGCATGGCCTCACTTCTTCCTGTTTCACCAATGAAGATGGAAGCTCTCAGAGACCAGTGCCGTATATAACTTGCAAAAGGACAGGTCACCACCAGACACGAACCCACGTCTTCCTCATCCCAATTCCATCAGCATTGGACCTTTCCAACCCTCAGCATTAAGGAATTCTTGTAAATTCACATGAGTATCCTTTGTATCCATGGAAGGAAATCCCTGAGATCTAACGAAGACATAGGATATCAGTCACAGATTCATGAACAAGCTAGTCAACTTCACTACGTGGAACCGTGCTTTTAACATGTCCAAACTAAAGGTTAAGAGTAAACGCTCCCCAAATGGAAGCACCAAGAGAAAGAAGTGCCACCTCCTCTGCTCTGTGAGGTTGTAGTGCAACCAAGCTTTTCAGCCACACACGACATGAAATGAACATGAATCCCTTTACCTTCAAACACAAAGGAATAAAATCAAGAAGGGAAGGAGAATTTCAATAAAAGTACAAGGATCAGAATCAGGAGGAAGGTGAAGTAGAAGAATAGGATGAAGAAAACAAGATGGTGATAATCAGACCATCACAACAGTAACAGGAGCAAACATGCCCACATAGACCGCTTGTGTGAGCGCTGCATCGTAGCTTGGAGGCACTTGGGAGCAGTGTGTCAGTGGCCAGGTGCCATGATTGGATTTCCCCAACGGTCCAGGTTTCCAGCAAATCACTGGGCTCTGATGGCATCTTCCTGTTGTTTCCTGTACTGATGCCAGGCCAATCCTGTGGCCCATGCTCTCATTTGCTGGGAGGGATCAACAGCAGGATCTGAGGGATAAATAGAGGAGTGCTGGGTGCTCAGACCCGAGACAATTCCGTGATTCTGTTCACATCCAAGGCAAGAGCCAGGAACAAGCACCTCACCATGAAGCTACTGGTGGTCTTCATGCTTGCTGCCATCCCCCTGTGCTGCCATGCTGGTGAGTCTCTGCAGGAAAGGCTTCCTTGGGACCACAGGTTGTTACCTGAGCCCTTAGGGAACGTGTCTATTCCCCAGCCCCCACTCCAGGCCTAATGTAGTACAATGGGGCTGGGTGACTTTTTTTAAATAAAAATACCATTAATCCAGATCTTCAGAGAGGCAGACGTCTGGCGGGTATTTTTCCTGCCTTTGACCTTCGAGACAGTGTATCATGTCCTCTCAGGGCATTACGCCATGACATGAGGTGGTTCATGAAATGAGGATTTAGTAATAGAGTTAGATATTCGGTGGGGCTGGTGGAAGAATGAATGCTGATACTGGAGACAGACACAGATGGATTTCTGAGAGCCTTGTGAGTCTCCTTAAATATGGAAAGGAAATGAGAAACCTCCCAGAAACAACGTGCAGGCTGTAGCTAAGACCCAGTATTGAACAGTTTGAGCTCACACAGCAGATATTTGTGGGTTTGCTATGAGCCCTTCCAAGAAGTACTTAGCCTCAAGTACCTCCATGTTCAATGCTAACCCGAGGAGAATCCATGTCCTCCACAGTCCTCTCACTGCACTAATACAGCAAAATGCTGTCGGGCAGAGATGGTCAGCGTGGACCTGTCCCAGGGGTAATGTTATATACACAGCTTATGATGCTTGTTTGATTGCCTTCTGCACTTGTTCCCAAGTTGGTGCCCATTGGTAAAGAGACAAGGTGTGCATGAGCTACATAAAAACTGATGTAGGCAAGGATAAACCCAGCTCATTCCCACCCAGCATCTGCGTTCTTTCACTGCAGATTGATCACATACGGTCACTTCAACTACAAGGAGTTTTTTTTTTTGGTTAAATAGTGTTTGGTGGCATCAGGGATTGACTTCAGGGCCTTTATTAGAAAATCCTTCTACTACTTGAACCAGGCCGGCACTCCTTTCATCTTTCTTTTCAATTTGCTCTTTAGAGAGACTTGTATACTTTGTCCTGGGACTGAGTCTGCAGACTACAGATTCTCTTAGGAAAAGCCTGTGCTCACCCTCAGGCCTACACATAAGGTTCAGTTTTCATTGCCAGTTGATACAGGCTATATTTTGACTTTCAAAAAGCTAGTGGAAAGTAATTAACACTCAGTATTTCAAGACTATTTAGAAATCCCAAATCACATTCTCAATGATAACAATGACACACGGCATGCCCTTGAACACAAGAAGACTCAGTCTTGTTTCACTGGATACCAAGTCACTTCATCTCATTTCTCGAGGGTCTTGTTAGCCAATGTTCCATAGCGTTTATCTTCTTTGGCGTTGTGTAATTGGGCAAAATCGAATAGGACTTAAAGGACCCCAAGAGCATGAATTTTCAGTGCTAGACCTAAGAAAGTTGGACACTGTCCCAATCCCTCTGTTCCCATTCCATGTTTAACTCCTTTCTGAACTGGTGTCTCTATGAAGACCTGTGATGATTGTCATCATGAACCTAAAAAGCATCGGAAATGGGTTTGTATGCCTGGCTCTGAGCCCCTGTTCTTATGTGTTTTTCCAGGCTCAGGTTGTCAAGAGCTGGAAGAGTTGATGGATGCAGCAATGAATCCAGAAGTGTCTGTGAGTGAGTACCAGGAAATGATGAATTCTTACCTTGTGATTTCCCCTATGGCATCGACGGCATCGACGGCAAAACTGAAACAATGTTTTCTCAGGCAGTCCACTGAAACTCTGGCCAATGTGAAAGTGATGATGGTGAGTTTGTTTTTTTCCTCTGGTACTTTCTATCATAAGGAACCCAGAAAATTCAGAGGTTGTGTGTGTCAATGTCAAACAAATTGGTATGCACACTCTTTTTTTTTTTTAACCTTCATTCTTTTATTTTTTTTTAATTGTCTTTAAGTAGTTGTATAAAAAAGTTCCCATTCTACAAAACAGTATATGAGTACAAAGTGTCTGACAACATTGCCACCTGTCTCTTTAAATCCATCCATTCTCTCACTTTTTTTCTTTAATTGAGATTAGGTGATTATTCACAGTATTGTGGAATAATGACACTTAGTTAGAGTTACAAACACATATTAACTTTCACAGGCACATTGTCATTATCATGGCCTATACAGTTTGTGAATTCTATGAGTTTTGACAATACAAGTTATTTTTTCCACATCAAGAGTACGCGCATTCTTTAAAAATATATCATTATGAGTGGAATTTCTGCTTGTTTGGCTCTATGTGTGAGTGTGTGTGGATGTGTGCTAGTTCTAGGGCTTGAAGTCAGGGCCTGGGTGTTGTCCCTGAGCTTTTCTGCTCAAGGCTAGTGTTCTAACATTTGACCGACAAGCTCCACCTCTGGTTTTTCTCATGAACTTTCCTGCCCGGCTGGCTTCAAGCTCATTTTCAAGACCTTACACTCAGTACGTGAAAATGATTAAAAACTCTTCCAGTTGAGCAGAAATTTTAGCAGTCCTGTGGTAAAAGAGTGGTATCCAAAGAGTTCAAAGCGCTGGGTTCTCAGCAAATAATATCTGTAGCATCTCTACAAGTAAGTAATTCAAACATGAGCCAGCTTAGGGAAACATGAATCAAATGTACCATTAGGACTTGTAGAAAGAATGGCACTCCTTTGGCAACAAGAACTATTTCCTGAGCAGTAAATAATCTGAGCATATAATCTGATTTTGATTCTAGAACACTTTGGATACCACTTATTAGAGCTAAAGAGAGTACACACACACACACACACACACACACACACACACACACACACACACACAAGTGGTTTTAGCAGGGTGGTGGCTCACCCCTGTAATCCTAGTTACTCAGGAGGCTGAGATCTGAGGATGGCGGTTCAAAACCAGCCCAGGCAGGAAACTCCGTGAGACTCTTTATCTCCAATAAGCCACTAGAAAACTGGAAGTGGTTCTGTGGCTCATCTGGTAGAGTGCTCACCTTGAGCTAAAGAGCCCAGGGACAGTGCTCAAGCCCAGAGTTCAAGTCCCGTGACGGACCAATAAAAATAAAAAGAGTGGTTTTAGGTTTAAATACTTGTCTCTGCAGGACAGAGTTGAAAATACAAATGATGGCCCCTTTCTGTTTTCCAGAATACGATATACAATGCAAAATGTGCTGCTTTTAACCTTCCACAAGATCCCTGACCCAGTGGAATAAACAGTGTGCTCAAACACCGACTACTGATGCTATAATACCTGGATTTCCCCCTTATTTCTGTCATTTTGTACAGGAGATGCAAGACAATTGTTAAAACATTTTCTTTTTATGGGGGGGAGGGGTCCTGTCGTGGGGCCTGAACTCTGGGCCTGGGCGCTGTCCCTCAGCTCTTCAGCTCAAGGCTAGTGCTCTACCACTTGAGCCACAGCACCACTTCCGGCTTTTTTCTTTTTGCTTATGTGGTGCTAAGGAATCGAACCCAGGGCCTCAGGCATGCAAGGCAAGCGCTCTACCACTGAGCCACCTTCCCAGCCCTGTTGAAACATTCTCATCCCAATAAACTAACTGCAAGCATGACAGCTCTGTGTTGTTATTCTGCATAAGCAGAGGCTTCAGTAGGCGTCTGTACCGCAGCATGCCCATCCACACACGTTCACAGTTTTTCATTAAAGAGCCCGTGAATGTCTTCAGATGGAAGACTCTGGAAAGACTCTGCTGAATCTGTCCTCAGCATGGCTTCTTTCTCTCCCTGCCTCCTCTCCACCCCTGGTGCACACAACTCTCTCTAAAGGCCTCAGGCTGGTGCCATCTACAGTTGGTTCAGATCAGATTCCTCAGGATACCTCGCTTCCCATCCGTGCCTTCTCCTCGCTTCCCAAAGTTGAGGAAAGAAGAGAACTTAAAACATAGTTCTCCTTTACTTTAAGGTGCCAGGACCACACTGGAGGGTGAGACAGGCTTGTATAGACTTGAGGAATGACGGTGACCTGTGTCTGGACAGAATGCTCCATTCTGTACCCCTGTCCAACACACCTCTATGGAGGAAAGCAGAGTGACCTCTGAATCCACCATTTCTCAGAGCACAAGACAATAAGATGGGGAAAACTAGAGAGGATGACATAATAACATCTGTACTTTATTAATATTGCTATTATAAAAGTGAGGTACAGAGAGGTAACAGTTACATAAGTCAGGTAATGAGCACTTTCCTTTTTGGATGTCACTCGTTCCCTCTCTCTTCCTAGTTCTTCTCACCTGTCCCCACCCACAAGTTGTATACTTCATTTTCTACAGAGTATGTAATGAATATCACTGCTGCAACCCTTCATCCTTGGTCCCTCCATCTCTGCTTTCTTGTTAATGCTAATGATGATGTTAATGCACACAAGGATTAACCATTTCCAAACTCATGTCCATTCTAGCCAAAAAGACAGTAAACATGTGTCTGCATACTACATGTCATTTTCCTTTTCCTCCTGGTTGGAGAGAGAAACTCCATTAATGGGTGTTAGGAAAGATGAAGCATTTGAAAGGAAAGAAGAAAGCAGAGACCTCAAGAGATCAGAGCAAGATTTAAGCATCACCCAAAAGGAGCAACAAGTAGTACCGAACAGAGTTGAGATACAAGAGGCGAAGAGCATGGGGTTTTAGGGCTTCAATACAGTCAAGTATGAGAGCATTGAATTTGCAATATCCTTGTAGTTGTAGCAGAGGTTTTATTTTGGATTTATGATGTCTTCTCAATTGTGGCAGAAGGTGCTGTTCCTTCAGATAAGGCCAGAGTGAGGTTTTGCGGAGAATAGCTCAAGGATAGGGAATCCTAGGATCTTATCAGAAGAGTCTCCAGGGGAAGATGGTCAGTGGCCATAGAAGCAACATTGAGTTATGAGAGCAAAGCAGAGTCCCATTGTTTGAGATGCTGAAGGGGTATGAAAGGTTGAGGGGTGTGGTGGTCTTTCCTGGCTACTTCCTGCTGACATGGGGTTGTTGTGGGGAAGGGAGGATCTTGGGAGTCTCTGGTTGCTCATAGAAGAAGGATAGCATTTACATGTTTCCAAGTTGCAGCCTGTGTCATTGCTGCTAGGTGATCAATGAGAAATTTCTGCAAGAGATTTAGAATACAGGGCAATAAAGTTCTTAGGAGGCAGAGGATCAGCAGGGGAGCCAGTACTAGGAGGAAGAGCCAGGAAGTCCAGCTCCAGATGTTTTTCCATTGGCTCCCTGACTTTACTCAGCAGAAGGCAGGTGAAGGACATAAGGAGACTGACAATACAGTTACAGTTATGTCACGGGCCCATGTGAAGGCATGTGAAGTTTCCCTCTTGAAGTAGGGATTCTTCACTTTGGGGCTTTAACTTCAATAAGAAGACTTGGCAGTGCTTTGTTGAGTAAGTAAGCAAGCAGGCAAGCAGAAAAACAGACAAGCAGAAAGGCTGAGTCACCCTGGAAGACAATGTGGGTGCTCTCAGAGGGAGAGACACTGAGATTTTTTACATCAAGGGTATTTATCAAATAAAGGCAATGTCTGGCTTAAAGTTTTGCAGAGTGGTATCTATCTTACGTCTTCATCGCTCTTGGTGTCAATATATTTGTTGAGTTCCTGGCTTTGTTTCCCATTTACTCTTCAATTCTTGGGCATTTCTCTCAGGAAGGATTGCATCTTATTGTCTCTCTTAGAAGCTAAACATAGCCTTCTATGTTACTAACTACCTTGTTTGTAATATGGCATCACCAGTCCTCATTTTCCCTACATAACTGTGCTTCAAGCTGAGCATTGTCCCTGTTAACATTATTTACATCTGGAGTCCTCAGCTCCACCCAGACCTGAGCTCCTTCCCTGCCTTAGAGTTCCTGCCATATTGCTGGCCACTCCCTCTCTCCCACCCAAACCTACCTTGGCACTTACCTCAAGACTGCCCCTAGAGCTACCCACCTGGATGGGGGCAGATGTCATATTGCTCCCTCTCCTAGGGGCGATATAGCCCCTATAGTAAATCTTATAATAATCTTTCTCCTGTTCCTGCCTGCCTCCCTGTGGTTTCCTGGGATGGTCATGAAGGATCCTAACACAATACCACCCAGCTAGGGACCTGAAGTCTTGTCCTTTCTTATCAAGGGGAACATGAGAAATTCAGTAGACAGATTGCCAGGATCAGATTTCATTAGGAGCATTTTTTTTTCACTCTGAACTATGAAAGAAGTTATATGAGAAGTTAGGGAAGCTAATACACTACAGAAACAATACAGTAAGTTAGCATTTCCCCCACATATCAGTACCATAAAGATAAGGTGTCCCAGCTGGGGCAATCTCATGTTGGGCGGGGCGTCCACTGTCAGGTCAGAATTTAAGGAATCTCCACTCTTATGAAAGCATAGATTACTAAGCACAGAAAAGCTTTATAACAACTTTTTTAATATGGCACATTAGCATATGAATTGACCTTCGAACACTCCCTAGTGGACATCAATTTCAAGTGCCTACAAAGAGAATTGGGGGAAGGAAGGTACCCAACCAGACTTGGAGGGCTGAAGAAGAAGGCACCTCTGCTTTTTTTCATAGAAGGATCCAGCAGCCCCCTTCTTATACCAAAAAAGGGGCATTTTGACTCATAAAAGGTACTGAATTTTCAACCATGCATTTTGGGAGAGGGGGGTAGCCTAAACTCTGTTGCTCACCCATTTTTAGACCACAGTATTTTCTTTTTCCAGAATGAAGGTACAGAAAGAAAGCTTTCTTGTGATTAGAGAGGTGTGGGTGGTGGCAATAGAAAGGGACTAGCTGAGCAATTGGATGGCTGTGATTAGGGAAAAGATGGGAAGGAGGGGTTCCCTCAGGGGGCCTTTTACAACCTCTGTCTAAAGGGAGAACTTGGAATCCAGATCCTGAAGTGAGTAGACTGAAGAAAGACAAAAGGAATGGATTATTGTCTGAGTCCAACACACACACACACACACACACACACACACACACACACACACACACACACACACACACGACAGGTTTGTTTGGGTATGCTATCTGTCTATGTGCTCCATTATGGGACCAGAGGACTAGAGCAAGGGGGTAGGGAGGAGAGAAAGATAGGAGGGTGGGAGATATATATAGATAGATAGATAGATAGAAAGAGAGAGAGAGAGAGAGAGAGAGAGAGAGAGAGAGACTAGTCCTGGTGTGTTTGTAAGCCAGCCAGTCAGTGATAGGTAGCAGATGAGGCAGAGGCTTGTTTTGACCATAGTCTAGAATAAGGCATTTTATTTTTGGGTTGCATGACTGTAGCTAAACCTTGGCATTTAACTTTAAGAAGTCTTCTTCTTTCTTTTTTCATCTCTTAAGCCAGATTTTTGGAGGAGTGGGGTGGTCCGGTCGTGGGGCCTGAACTCTGGGCCTGGGCGCTGTCCCTCAGCTCTTCAGCTCAAGGCTAGCGCTCTACCACTTGAGCCACAGTGCCACTTCTAGCTTTCTTTCTTTTTGCTTATGTGGTGCTGAGGAATCGAACCCAGGGCCTCATGCATGCAAGGCAAGTGCTCTACCACTGGGCCACCTTCCCAGCCCGAAGCCAAATATTTAAAGATGCTGAAGGTTACATTAAGTAGCTCTTGTTGGCATGTTTGGGGTTGAAGGATTTAGTCCTGCCTCATTCCTCACCGTCAAGCAAAATACCAGGTGTATGCTTACGTGCTTGTCTACAAGCCGGTCATTCCAACCTCGCCCCATAGAATACAATAGCCCCACCCCCAGGCATTCCATGGTGGGCCTGGTCCAGGACATCTTCCTGGGCCCCAAGAGACCATAACCCTATTTCCATTTTCTGGTTCCTTGTTAAGCCCATCCCCAAAATGCAGTCCTTGGCACAGCCTTCAATCCTGAGGGAAGGTCTGTGGCCCTCACTGTTCCTCAATAAACTGTCCTTGCCATTCTCCATTTTGCCAACAGGGTCCCTGCTCTAGATTTTGGAGTTCAAGCTGGGCTGTTCATGCATTGCTATGACTCTATTTCCAACATAATTAAAGTTGCTTTACCTTTCTGGAGGGGTTGGCTGAGGTAGAGGTTCACCCAACCACATGCTGTGTCAGTCCCTCAGCTTGGCAGGCTGCAGGGCAAGGTCTGCAGAGGGAGTCTGCTTGGAGTGGACAGACAGGTTCAGCTAAGAGAATCTGGACAGCAGAAGGGAAGAAAGCAGTGGCAAGAGCAAAGAAGGGAAAAGGCTTGGGCACAGAGAATCTCTGACCATTTGCCATTTCATTGGAGAGACAT